CAGGTTTCCTTTTATGACATTTGTGTAGTTTTATATAAATAAGTAATAGTTTAACTCATGCAATGATTCTGGTATTAGTTGAGTAGCAATTATACCATTAATATCACTTAAATCACAATAATTTATAGAATAGTCATTTGCTATCATTAATTTTTATGTATAGAGTAAAATAGAATTTGTTTTCTTATAAAAAATATTCTTTAAAATTTATTTCAATAGACAACAATCAATAGTGTCAATTGAATAACAGTTATATTTTTGAAACTATTTGATTGCGAGGATTTGATGATTAGCCATTTGTTAGCTTAAATTCTTGTGTAATCATATTTTCTTTTAGATAAAAATGCGTAAAATATGAAAGTTGTTATCTTTTAAAATATTTAAAAAAAATAAAAATATACTACAATTAATAGTGTTAATTGAATAACATTTTTATCTTTAACATTATTATGAGAGTTTAATGATTAGCCATTTGTTAACTTAAATTCTTATGCAAGATTTTTTTCCTTAATCAAAAAATACAAAAAGAGACATATTTCACATATAAGTTATTTTAAAACAATTGTGAAATGATTAATGGTATTAATTGAGTAACACTTCTCTCTTTAATATCATGTAAATCATTAAAGTTTATAGAATAATCATTTGCTATCATAAACTTTCATGCATAGGGTAAAATAAAAATTGTCTTTTATAGAAAATTAATCGTGGTAGTTATCTATAACATTAATTGAGAAGCAATTTTATTTTTAATGTTATCAAATTTGAGGTTTTAATGATAAGTCATTTGCTAGCTTAAATTTTTATGCAAGTTTTCTTTCAATAAAAATACATATAAAGAGAAGAAGTCATTTCATTAAAAAATAATAAAAATTAAAGGATAAAAAGTATTTATTAAGGGTAAAATAAATATTTGTTAAGTTATATAATTTTGTACAATTAATTAAAGGTACTATTTTTAACAGGCGTTGTAAGATGTTAATAACTTCCTTACATGTAATTGACTTCCAAATCCAACTATGTTTCCAATGACCACATTCTTAAAGGGTTTTCCAATATCTTTTTCGAATGTCGTTTGTATTGTAGTACTCACGTATGCATGGTGGATTCCTTAGGTAAGGATTTGATATTTAAATACTTGTGCAGGGATTAGGTATAATCATCTAAAAGGTACGCAAAGATATATATATATATATATATATATCATTCCCGTCGTGATTTTGATTGCGACACTAATTAAGCCCTAATGTCTCATTCTATTTGATCATAAACTTAACTACAAGGATTAGGCCTCATCGACAACATCCTCAACTTCATGATGTAAGCTACTTACAAGGACATACAATAGAGACACACAAAATAACGTGAGTTAGAAATATTTCACTCTTACTCACGGCGTAGAATATAGTCAGATAATCAAGCACAAGCAAAGATGCAAAGATATAAATCATAGCAGACTATTAATACAAATATATTGATACAACAAAACACAATTTGACTAATAATACATAAATCATATAACTAATACAATTCATCACATAAATTCACTTGTATACATATACATATAATGTAATGGACACAAACTTCAAAGTGCATATGCATATGCATCAGTCAAATCAATTGTCAACTGTCAACTATTACCCAAAGGTTCAATTGTTGCTCGAAGGCTCAACTGTTGCCCGAAGGCTTAGTTGTTATGTATATAATGCATGTCACAAAAGACTCAATGCTTTATCATATTACTACAATTTAGATCCACAATTGTACATCAATTCTCTTTTCAATTCATTGTTACATCATGGCTAAGCTTTACTTAGACTTCTTATCATATAACCCTCATAGGATCCATACACATCACCTGTATCAATACTTAAGCATAACAACCAGTTCATACAAATCTCACAATTGTGTCAAGAACATACTCACATACCCCAACTAGTTATCAACATTAATTAGTACAATGATTGCACATATTCGTAATTCAAACACAACAATTACACAACATCATTCGATATACCTTAAGAGAGAATCATTATGAAATTGTCTAATCATATGTTAGCATATTAACCACAGTCACTAAGAGATCGACATCACCAAACATTTAAATCAATAACTTAACTAGTCTTACAACCTCATTAATATCCCACATTAAGTCTTTATACATCGTTATCACCAAAACACCTCAAGTCATTAATAATTAACTCACATACAAAATTATTTACAATTTTTTTCTCCCATGATTTATACTTCTTAAACATTGATATAGGTACCTCAAACCATTTGTAAGATCAAACACTTAAACAATAAAGTCATTCGTCATCACCATTCACAAACTATATCTCCGTAACTTAATTTTCTAAGACCTCGTGTAGTCGAAACTCCATATCTAGAGTTATACATATGTTATCAAGTTGATATTAATTTTCTTAGATATCTAAGACAATTATATACAATTTCTACGTTGATCTCAAGAGCTAATTACCATCTATTATTTTTACAAATTAAAAAATTGCAACATTTCAACCTAAATTTGACAACTTGACATTTGCTTACTAATTTGATCATATCTTGAATTCTAGACCTCGTTTTAAGGTGATTTCAATGACATTTGAAATCTAACATATAGGAATACAACTTTTATGAAGAACACAAAAGCAAATTTAGCCATCTACTTGCTTAAGCAAGCCAATATTTTGCTTAAGAGATATCAACTCCCTTAGAGTGAGCATTGAGCAAGATCAACTTGCTTAGAGTAAGCGTCACCCGAAACTCTCCATCAGGCCTCACTTGAGCGAGACTAAATTCAGTTGAAGCGAGATAAATTTGCTTATAACGAGTTTATGATCGCTTGAAGCGAGATACAATTCACATTCCTCTCATACTAATGCAAATCTTTTTGTTCTTAACCTTTGCACTTTATTGCATTAAATGCAAAACAATATACTTTCATCATCCATAAGAAATCTTGTGTAAAAAGAAATATAAATTTTAAAATAAGTGTTATTTTAACTTTTCAATATAGTATAAATTATCATTTTTTTTATTTATACCTCTAATAATATTTTTTTTTGTTTTATTACATTGTTTTTAACCAAAAAAATTACTAAAGTTTAATTTTGTAAAATCACTTTTATTTTTTATTAATTTTTTTGATCTGTGTAAAATAACCTATGATGACACTTTCTATGAGATGAAAAGAGTACTATAAACTTAGAAAAAAAAAAGAAAAAAAAAAAAGACATCTCATGATTGATATTAGTTAGAGAAATGTTAGTAATACCCTTTTTTATACAGTTTTTGTTATTTATTGAAATTTATCAATATATATATATAATTTTTAGTAGGTTTTATTTTTTTATATAATAAATTTCTATTTTAATTTTACAATTCTTAATAAGTTTCTATCAAAATATATTTGTTAAAAAAGAAAAGTATGCAAAAGAATGTGTCACCACGGTTCCTCGTACCAGTTATTTGCAAAGGAGGAAGTTGATACAACTTTTGTTGTTCTAGTTGATGGTGATCAGGATACTCAAAGCTTGTCGAAGAAGAAAAATTCATCCTCTGTTATCTCTTAGTACATATTAGAATAGCTATTTTAAACAGGAGTAATTTTAAGTTTTTTTTTTAATAAGTATTTTATGAAAAATTTATTCAACCAAAACATTTTTAAGAATTTTTCTCAATCTCTTATTTCTTTAAATTTATCATTTTTTAAAATTGAATTTTAATATATTTTAAAAAAATCATTAGTAGTTAAAAATATTTTTATATCATAATATAAATGTTTTATTGTAAATTTTAATTATAATATAATTTATATTAAAAATATTAATTTACTATAATTTTACAAGTTAAAAGTACTGGTTACACATATTTCTCACTAGTTGCTCAATGTTAAATTGAATGCGACGACGACAGCTATGAAAAGGAATAAGAATCTCTCCCTCTTATGTGCAACATGATGGACTAAACGTAGCTATCAATGATAAACCTATATGTAAGGCCCCATACAACATTCACTTATGAACATTATTTAAATAGCAACATGCCAACAACGACTGGACCCACAAATGACAGTAACGAAGAAGTACTATTTATTTTCAACCATAAGCAAATATGGTCAAATAAAAACTGTAGAATATCGTCCAAGGGAACAAGATTCTGTGACACAAACGAGATACGGGATGTGATTTTTCCCAGGTGCGTACAAGAGATGAAAACATTTCGCTCAGCCATTATCTTTCCTTCCCTATTCCTGTTATGTAGAAACTTTCACCCTAGAGGCCTAGACTATGTCATGTATCCACACTCATTTTCTTTGTGCAAAACCAAGTTTGCATAATCCAACCTTCATTGATAATAAAATTGAACTCTGTTTCTTTAAATAAAGTTTTGAGATCTAAGTTGTATAGATAATTGATAAAATAATCTCACTATGATCAATCAGATTCTCTAAAAAGAATAATAGTGGATTAGTTTGATTAGTTCATCTACTAGGTAGTCTGTTTCAGTCAACGCGCCTATGGGTGTCTTCCTTCTAAAGATAGGAGTACAGAAACAAAATAATTCACATTGGATCTAACATCGAGACTATTTGGTTTCACGCATACTCAATCACCTTATAAAATAAAAAGGAAAATCTGAACATCATAGCGAAACCTCCACTTGATATTAACTAAAAGCTTTAATTATTCATAGCTTCTTAACATGTAGGGCACTTCTTCTGTCCTACAACTGAATTGACAACCCTGGCCCCGCAAAAGGTGCTCGCAACTGTGAGCATAGACACAAATAGATCATCTCAGATCCCACTATCACTAGAAATAAAATAAGCACAGGAATTGTAGAACCTAATTAAAGTGGTGTGGGGGCAAAGCATTTCATGATCCCTGACCAACCACACGATGGAAACTGTGGTTAGTTGTCGTGGACAAACAGGGTTAATGCAAGACTGATAAGCCTGAAAGTTCTGATACTGCTACAACACTCATAAAACATAAACGGCAAGAGTAAATTAGGTTATGTATTCACCAAGAAAAAAAAAGAAAAAAAAAGTTGTGTCCATATGGTAACAAGATGGCATACAGTGCCAACCATCAAATTCATCTATATAATTAAGTGGAAGTACTTCGTTATTTTCAGTTATAGTAACTACAAACATAAAAGGGCTAGTAGACAATAAACAAAAACATGACAGGACCTTTCCAGGGTCTGTACAAGGAACAGAAGGATCAAATTGGTTACTTATTACCTTGCCTTCTCTAATTCATCGTCCTTTCCTTTTACGTCTTTTATCTTTCTCCCACCAAAAGAGAAAGGAGATTAGAGATAAACATCTCTGTGAATCCAAAGTAGCTCTAGATAGGGGCCACAGATATATGCTAGCTTTCTCAAGCAACACTTATTATGCTATCTCCATTGTTGAAGCACGGAAGTGCATGTAAAGCTGAATGTCTTGATGATGTCTGTCTTTGACTAGATGACAAAGATAACCCGAGAGACAGCGTTGGTGGATCAAATGAACTCAAACTGGCAGTGATATCAGACACTGTTGAGCATTTATGATCTGGAACAATAGGGGTGGTACAAACTAGCTTAGTACTTGGCCCATTCTGTTCCACATTTCCTTGTCCCAAAGTGAGTGTTTCCATTGGATTCCCACCCTGAACTGACATGACTCCAGAACCAACATCCTTCGGATACAAGGGCATCATGGGAAATCCATTCATGGTGCTTCCTTCAGGGGTTACAGGGTACACCGGATGCAGAAGAGACACGTCATCTTGATGCTGGACCTGTCCTTCCTCCATCGGGGTTGTAGAAACCTGACAGAAAGTTGAAGAAGATCATTGAAAGTTGCTATAATAACCTAAACCTAACTGGTTATGGATCTCACAATAAATGTTGAAAGATCCACTAAATATATGTAGCAGTCAATACAACAGTGAATAAGTCTTCCCAAGGGTGCCAAACCATGGAAACAAAACGATTGTTAATAGAATAATACCAAAGTTACTCCAATCTTCCAAGGTTTGAAATACTTAACTTTTTCACCTATAAGGTCCAAAATCAATGAGAAATTATTAGGTAATCCAGACCTTCTAAGTGCCCATGGTCTATGCGAAAAAATAAATTAAATTTAATAAAATATCATATATAGACTAATTAGACGTATGATGTAGAACCATCTAATAATTTCTCGTAATCAAATGATTTTGTCCTGTTGAATTTATCTTCAACAACCAAAGGACTTCAATTAATAAACTCAAGATAAGATACATAACAAAATGGTAGAAGTTTCTTTTGGTTTCAAAAAGCATTTTTTATTTTTTATAATTAAATTTCCTGTTTTTATAAACAATTACAAAAAAAAAAAAAAAAAAACTATCCTCTGTTCAGCGGATTTCAAAGGTTTGAACCAAAACAAAGTGAATATAAGATTACAACGTTGCATTTGCTGGTAAAATTAAAATAGAAAACACGGGACTGATCAGTTTAAGAAAATAAAAGGACAAACACCTTCAAATATGCTCGAGAGACAAAATTTAAAATAAAAAAAAAAAAAAAAAAAAAAAACAGACTTTCATTAACTTTGACCAACCTTCGTTTGAGTCTTTATGTTTCGCTTGACACCCTTTTTTCTTTGGTTTCTATACTTTGTTTTCCTAACAAGGCAAAAGAAAGAATGGCTCAAAATTTCAATCCCACGACCAACGTGATCAATAAAATCCGTTGACTCAGGGCACCTAATTCCATGGCACAAAAAAAGTAAAACCAAACTTGAGCATTCAACACAAGATGGTTAATTACCGAGACCGTGGTGATGTCAAAGAGACTAGATCTACGGCGACGGCGATTGAGGTTGGTGCGGCGGAGAAAGTACTTCTGAGCATGGCTAGCAACCTGTGTTGGTGTCCGCGTTTTAACATAGTTCCTTGAAATCCCTCTCCAATCACCTTTCCCCACTTTCTGCAACCCCACCAAGAACAGCTTGTGCTCTTCCTCCGTCCACGGAATCCCTGATCATACCCCCCAAACATCACAAAACCCTCTTAATCAACAATCACATTCATATTCATATTCTATAACAAACCTTACTTTAAAAATTAAATTAACACAAAACTTAGATTAACTAACATATTACACAGCTAATATCCTCCCTCCGATTCAAAATCAATATTTCGTATCAATAATATGTCTCAGTGATTAAAATCTCCACTAGATACGGATATAAACATTCATACTCTAAATTAAACAAATACAAAACTTAGATTAACATATTTCATATAAATAATAGCTACTCAGGAGGTCATAGTAATTAAAATCGATGGACATAAATAATGCATCTAATTAAATTACACTCTAATAAAAACACCTAAATTTTCGGCGGAGTGACCAATCAAGTTATACATAAAAACAAAACAATTTAATTATTTAAAACCACAAAGCGTGGCAGAGGGTCCCAGAAGGTGATGATCTGACCTCGCTTGCGGTCGCGGCTCTTGCCGGAGTTGGTCGGAGCAGCGTCGTCGGCGGAGGCGTAGCCGGCGGTGACGACGGCGTCGTCTTTGGCGGCGGCGGAGGCGTCGCGAGGGAGGTCGTACTGAGAGAGGTTGTTAACGCTGACGATATTCATAATGGAGTAGACGACGACTCGGACACCGAAGAGCATGAACTCGGCGGAGTGAGGCATTTTCCGGCGAGCGTTGGAAAGGCGAATTATGGTGTGTGAGGGAGCGAGCGAACGAGTGATTAATATAAGAGAGAGAAGGGAGACAGAAAGTTGGGAGAAGTGACAGAAATGTTTAAAATAATATGAGGTAACATGTGATGTACTTGATCCACATATAATTCAAAATTTTCATTGTGATTAAGGGAAATATTCTTTTTAGTACATCCTCTCTCTCTATTATAATCTTATTTCTTCATCAGATTAATGGAATGCATTCTTTATTTTTTCAATACCAACAAAAGCTGAAAGAGATATGTTACTTAAAGTCAAGCTAGCTGGCCTTCCCATAGAATATAGATTATGTGCAAATGCTTCATCCTTTCTTTTTTAATCTCTTTTTATCTTATTAATCACTAATTATCATTTACATCATATTGTCCCTATTGAACCAAAAATATTTCTTAATAAAAAATTAATAATTTATATATTTTTGGTTCGTCCCTGAATATCCAGGACCAATAACAGTGACTAATCTCTTCGCTACGTTAAAAGCACTTTAAAAGGTGTGATAGCTGGCACCAAAATTTAACATAATTACATACACAAGTCAGGATTCGAATCCCTGACTTTGTTTAAGCGTGGATCAACTCCTACAGCTGAATTAATAATTTATATATATAATAGTTTTATAATCTCAATAATATAATATAATTTATATCAATAGTATACAGTGGACAGTGGGATTCCTTTTTCCAATCTTAGAGAAACTAACATTTAAAAAAAAAAAAAAAAGTTTGTGTGTGCTGTTTAATACGTGGCAATAAGTGGTCCGTTTTATCTGCTGCTATCCTGTGTTTTATCTTGTCTCTTTGAGGAATCTTTTGTGTTCAGAATATTTCATGGATATATCAATGGTGATAATATAATTATTCAATTTATTTTTTTCTTTAACTGTTCCTTTTATATAAGTAATGCATTAGGATTGGTCTTTTACTTAAAGGTGGTAATATCTTTAGATCTAAGTTCGTTAATTTGTTTTAAAATTAAGATTACATTTTATTTAAGACACCTACTAACTTTTACGAAATCTTACTTCCATAAGGATTTCATGAAATTAAGTGTGTTAGATATATTTGTAAAGTACTTTATTTTCGTGGATGTTTCTCTATAATAAGGACGTTGTTATAAACATGCTATAACTGTTTTTTTTAATGAATATAAGTGTTTTTAAAATTACAGGTTAAAATATATTTTTTTATTTCATATAATTTTATTTCTTTTATCTTTTAATTTTTATAATTTAAAATATATTTTTAATTTTTATATTTATTTTTCTAATTTTTTTAGTTCCTATAATTTAAAATAAGGTTTTTTAGTTTATATATTTGTAATTATTTGTAATTATTTTAGGTTTTATCATTAATTTTTTTAACATTAATTATTTGTTTTGTGTTGACGCGATAGAGATTTTTAATTTTGTAAAAGTAAAAAAAAAAATGTCTGAACAATGAGTGTCACATGTAAAAGTACAAAATAGATATAAAGCATCAAGAAACCTAATTTAGAATAATTTTAATAAAATAAATTTGACATAAGACACATAAAGTTGAATTAATATTTTTATTATGTCAACACAAAAGAAATAATATTATAAAAATAAATGAATGACAATAACTAGAAAGATTAAAAAAGTTGTAAGTATAGAAATTTAAAATATCTATCTTAAACTATAGGGACTAAAAAAGGTTAAAAAGGATAAGTATATAAACTAAAAATATTTATTTTAAACTATAGAGACTAAAATATAAAATAAGTAAAATTACAAGGACTAAAAAAATTATAACCTAAATTATATAAAGTTAATCAAAATTATTGGCTCAAATAATGTGTATTTGTGTTCTTTAATTAAGAATTATAATTTAATTTATAGTTTGAATATAGAATCATAGTTGAAGTTACTAATTTATATTTAGAGAGGTCAACTCCATGTAAATGAGTTATACTTCCTAAATAGATAAAAAAAAATTAATTAATAATAATAACAAAGGATATTAAATATATGAAAAAGGTAATTGTTATCAAGTATGTAATTAGTAGTATGAATAGTATAAGAATGTAAGTTAATTTGATTCTTATATACTATATTTACTTTAGATTTCCTACTATCGATATTTATAATTAAATAATATTTTAATATGTATGTTTCACATATTAAATATTTATTATAATAACTAAATTTTATAATAATTTATATATAAAAAATAAATATTATATTTAAATATATAAATTATATTTACAATATGTATAGATAAATATTTTTAAATAAATAAATTATATTTTTTATTTAAAATAAATAATTTATATTGTGACACAAAATTATTTTTAATTATTAATAATTTATTTTAAAACATTAAATTTTAATTCATATATAAATATAATAAATAAAAATTAAATTATATAAAAATTTAAAAGAACCTCTAAAAGTACTTTTGTCAAAAAATAATTTTTAAAAATATTCTCACACAATATAATCATTTGCATTTAATATATAGGGGTTGGTTTGACTTAAATGAATATAAAATTTTGAGTAAGTCTTTAACCTACCCATATAAGTTTATGTTTAATAAATATAAGTAATTATTGATGGATTTTAATTGTTAATTAATATTATATATATAAAGCAATGTTTTATATCACCTACTTGAAAAAATAATTTTATGAATTTTTTTTAGGAGACCAAATTTTTTTTTATGAATCTCTACATTTTTATCAATCAAAAGTTTTTTTTTATTCTTTGTTTATCTAAACTATTTTTGTAATGACCTGATAGATCATTATACTTAATATAATTCAATTATTATGTAACATAAAGATTAAACAGAATCAACTAATCTAAGTTTATCCTATAACAGTCACAAGGTAAAAAATTTAAAACAATTCTTGGACATCAATAGAAAAACATAGATCTCTTTATGGGGTTACATATATACCATGTATGTGTGTGTGTGTATATATACACACACAAATACATGAACTACATCATTGTGTGCAAAAATGAACTTAATTGCTATTCAAGTGTTTATGTAACAACTATGTCACATCAAAGTGACACCACCAAAAGGATCATTAAACAGCATGACCTTCCAGCAACTAAACGAGCCAACCTGCTAATTTTGTGTTATTCTCATATCAAGTATGATCATTGTAATTCCAATCACAAGAAAAAGAAGGATAAGCTTGTGAAAATAATCGATATACAATAATAACATTAAGTAAAAACTTAAATCAATTTGAACAACATCATTCATTTTATCTTGCAACTTCAACTTACCATCAAGTACAACAAAAACAACCTACAATATAATACAACTCATTGACTTAAGTTTAATAACATATTCAACATGAGCAACAACAAACAACTAATGGGTCATCATGTATATCAACTATAGATATTCTACAACAAAGGTGGAAAATTTAAGTGACTAGACCTTACCGAACTATAACGTTTGACCTATCGCAACCAGAACATATATAAACAACTTCAAGCCCCTTAGAGTACATGTTCAACAACTTAAATTTGATTTATCATGTTTTGCTACGTAAATTAGGGAGTTTAGGGTGTAATGGTTTGTGTATAAACCTACAACGACATTAGTTTGCAACACTAAGCCTCCTATAGGATTAACTCATTACCCTTCAAATACTACACCATTCTAATACTTAGTTAGGGGCTAAGTTTCCAAACCTTATACTTTACTTAGTTGGTCGTTTTATACATGTATGTCTTAACCTTGTCCACATAAAGATTCCATGTAAGACCTAGATGAGATAATTAACTTAAAATAACTACTCATTCAGAACTTACTTATTGAAAGGTTCTCAATTGAGCTTGCGGAGTACCACAACTTATATCCACATAATGAGATATTTTAATTTCTAAAATATATTTTACTCTCCTCTAGTTTTTATGTATCTTAGCAAAGACATGTATCTATACCACATGCCTAAAAGGCTAACAACTTAATCAATTATAACATCAATACAATTTTACAATTTTATCATCCATTAACATCCAGCTTAAAACATCATACATCTTACAACTTGATCAACTTCATCAATTCTCATCATAAACAACTTTAAACATCACCATATATCATCATTCAAATAAACAATTCATCATACTTCAACATGTAAATGACTTAGAACATCATCCTTCATTTCAACATATCATGCCTAGTGTCATTCTTAGCATGTCCAATGCTATTGAGACAAAGAGATTTTTGTCTCACTCACGCCCAACGTTAATTCTCTTGCACCCAATGTGGGTTAGGTAGAGAAGCTCTGACTCTCCCGCACTTGGCGTAGCAAAACTCACGCTCAGACTCAATTAAGCAAAGAATTTTTACCTAACTCATGCTCGACACCACTCAACTTGCACTCGATGTCATTTAGGCATTGATCCACTGACTTTATCACACTAGGCATCACACTTCTAGAGCTCAATGTCAACAAGTCAAAGAACTCTCGAGTTCTCATGCCCGACTTCACTCATTCCATGCCTAATGTGACTAAGTCAAAGGATGCACCTTATTGATCCATGCCCCAGACTACCAATCTCACACCCGATGTGATCAGGGTAAAGATTCCCCTAACTTGAGTCACACCCAACGCAATAAAGGCACATCCAACATGATGATAAATTCTACACTTGGTAGAAGCTCATTTTAGCTCGATTCACCTGAAACTCAATAAATAACCAACATGTAATACATCATACATTATCTAAGCTCCACAAATAGCTTGAAAATAACCTCATTTACAACATGCAATCACTGTAATTCATAAATCATCAAATCTCTCACAAAACACAACCAAAAACCCCAACACCATATATTCATCATCTTATTCAGATTTTCAGTCCAAAAAAACCACCAATAATGAAATCAATCAACAAATCATCCACATGAAACCCAACAAAATCAAATACAAAGTTTCCTACCTTCAGTCGATCAACCAAGAAGAGAAGAAACAAACTTTTGCATGGCCTAAGACTTGAGATTCTTGGCTTCGTAAAGCTTTGAATCAAAAATCAACCCACCCAATCAATTGTAGGAGGAGTAGAATATAAAT